CAGTTATTACATGGCATTAGTGGTTTTAATAGGAGTTGGTATACATATTCAAGGGCGTGCAAAGTTCGGTTGTGTTTATGATCATATGTAGTGGGCCAGTGTGGGCCAAAATGCCCGGGCCGATTTTTTTGTCCCAGTCCAGCCCCACACACACACACACACACACACACTCTCTCTCTCTCTCTCTCTCTCTCTCTCTCTCTCTCTCTCTCTCTCTCTCTCTCTCTCTCTCTCTCTCTCTCTCTCTCACACTCTCTCTCTCTCTCTCTCTCTCTCTCTCTCTCTCTCTCTCTCTCTCTCTCTCACACGCACACTAACCCGATCCCTAAACCTACCCATCACACACACACACACACACACACACACACTCTCTCTCTCTCACACACACAGTCACACAAGGCGTTAACTGTAATCTTAGGCTACGTTTACACATAGCCGGGTATTTAGAGAAACGAATATTTTCCCCCTCTCCGTTTTCAAAAATAACATCGTGCACACACCCGCATAAATACGCCGTCGAGCGCCATCATAACTATGCCAAACCTATGGGCGGCAGTGTAGGGAGAAGTATAAAGCAATGCAAGCCAATCAAAATCCTCAGAATCGACAAGAGAGAACCTAAAACCCCGTTTCTCCCAGTTTACACGGCAACACATAACCGGCGTTTTCAGACATCTCCACTTTGCCCGGAGTTTTTAGAAATAATCGTTTTCTGTGATAAAAACGGCGTTTTCGTGTAAATGAGAGGGCAAAACGCAGAGAAATATCTGGGTTTTCCCATCGTGTAAACGGGGCCTTACACTGCAAAATGATAACTTACAAATTATTAAATTTCCAAATATCCACAAAGATAGCTTTTTAATGGTGTATTGTGAGGCAGACGTGCCTGTGTGCGCTCCCTCACAGCTTTTTATTGAAGTAAGAACTTTATATTTATCTTTGTAAAAAAAAAAGAAATTGCACGAACACAGAAACCTTTAGGATCTGGTTTTCAACCTCTGCCCGTGACTTTTATAAATAGCCTAAGTCAAGTCAAGTCAAGTCAAGTCACCTTCATTTATAAAGCGCCTTTAACAGTATGGATTGTTTCAAAGCAGCTTCACAGTTATAGTAGAAATTACCATAACAGATTGTTTAGGCTTTACAACAACATTAGGATAAAGTTATTGTCCAGCTAAAGTTAGTGTTGATTGATTTACTTCTGTTGCAAATATCATTAGTTACTGTATTAACTTAGGGGTAACACGACACCGCTCTAACAGAAAAACTCTTAACACGCTCCGGCCGTCCATCCGCACAAAACAGTGCCTGTGTCTCGAGAACGCACTCCCTGAAATAGGTTTGAAGGTGCAAATGATTATCCGTTATCTCTGCGCAAACCTCAAAAACGCATCACGTGTTCAGTTTGAATATATTTGTGAAAATCGAAGTAAAAGAATTGAAAGTGGGGGGGAAATCACATTATGAAATAAATGTTTTTCTCCAAAATACATTGGCCACAATTATTGGCACCCTTTTATTAAATACTTTTTGCAATCTCTTTTGCTGAGATACCAGCTCTGAGTCTTCTCCTATAATGCCTGATGAGTTTGGAGAACACCTGACAAGAGATCAGAGACCATTCCTCCATACAGACTCCTCCAGATCCGGCAGATTCCCTGATCCATGTTGGTGCTTCTTCTCTTCAGTTCTGCACTCATCAGGTCAGGGAACTGGGACAGTCATGGCAGAAGCTTCATTTTGTCCTCCGTAACAAATTTTTGTGTTGATTTTGATGTTTGTTTTGGATCACTGTCCTGATGGAAGATCCAACCACGGCCCATTATAAGATTTCTAGCAGAAGGCGTCAGGTTTTGATTTTTTATCTGTTGATATTTGATAGAATCCCCGATGCCATGTGTCTGAATAAGAAGTCCAGGACCTCCAGCAGAAAAATATGCCCAAAACATTAAAGATCCAATGATATATTAAATTGTACACATGGGTACTTTTTATCCTTGTGTGCACCAAACCCATCTAGCGTGTTTGCTGGCAAAAAGCTCTTTTTTTAGTTTCATCTGATGATCTGACCACAGAAACCTGTGCCGTTTGAAGTTCCAGCCGTGTCTGACAACTGAATTTGCTGGAGTTTGTTTTTGGATGAGCGAGGAGGATTTTTCTTGAAACCCTCCCAAACAACATGTGGGGATGCAGGGGATTTTTTTTTATATATATATAGGCTTTCTGACCACAAGACTCAACTAATCTCTGCAATTCTCCATCTGTGATCATTGAAGAGTCTTTGGCCACTCAAACTTTCCTCCTCACCGTCCATTAAGGCAATATAGACACATGGCCTTTTCAATTCTTAAGCTATTTTCTTACAGCCACTTTCTATTTTGTGATGCTTAACAATCTTTTGATGCACATCAGAACTATATTCTTTGGTTTTACTCATTGTGATGGATGATTAAGGGAATTTGGCCTTTGTGTTTAATCATATTTAAGCTCCTGTGAAACAAAAAGTCAAAACTGGACAATTTCATGTTCCTAGTCACCCTGGTGTGCTAAAAAAGGTTAACATTAATGGGAATATACTTCAGAGATATTTTACTCGTAAAAAATTCTAGGGGTACCAATAATTGTGGCCAACGTGTTTTGGAGGATTTCATAATGTGATTGTGTTTGGACACACAGACATCAAGAATCAGCATATGAATCTCAACAATGGTGACAATAAACAAACTAGTGACAAACAGATCAACTCTTAACATCACAAAACAAGCTACTAAAGTCCTAACAAAACAATAGCAAAATAAAAGCAAACAGGACAATTCAGCTGCATAATTTATTCATGCTGTAATGCATGATGTGAGCCATGGATGCGTTTTGATTGGTGGCTCCCATCATGCACTGTGACATGAAGCATTTGTGTGATTGTCACCATTGTTGAGATTTAAATGTAGATTCTTGATGTCTGTGTGTGATTTTAAAACCTTCAAATTATTAAAGCACTGCTGGAATTAGCTACTGTAATGAATATGAATAAAACATTTGTATAATCAGTTTATAATGCTGGTTCAGTGTATCAGGCCACTACAGGATTGTACGATTTGATTATCTAAACATTACCATCATTACCTGGGCTTCATTGCCCAAAAGCATCTTAAGCCTAACTTGATCGTAGAACAATTGCAACAAATAGTCTGTATGATCAAATTAGGCTTACGATGCTTTTGGGAAACGCATCCCTGGTCATAGTTTCTCTTGCCACAACAAATGTGCTTTATGAACTCAGAGTTGGAGCAGCCAGATAAAAACTAATATTAAAAAGTGAACTAAAGCACACACTGATCACCATAATGGTGACATGAAATGAAACATTCCATAAAACATCACCATCTAAACTTCTGTAAATCTAAATAAGACTGTGTGTAGATGTATGACAGAAATTATGTCAAACTGGTAATAATAAGTGCAATACTGTGTAATGGCTCGAAGTCAGTAGTTCTTGTGTTTCTCTTTTTTTCTGTTCTTGTTGTTTCTCTTTCCTTCACTGATTCTTCTTATTAACATTAGCTGTCACCACTAATGGCCAATCATCACTTAATTAATCACTTAATTATCTCATTAACTTCAACACTGCTTCAGTGTTAATTTTTAACACCCTGTAGTTGCACCTATATGTACACCAGGAGTGTTAATTTAACACTGGGGATTTTTCTGTGCAGTGTTTTTCTCAAGAATGTAACCAACTAGTGTTTTAACAATTTCACAAACATCAGTCTGTCTATTTCTTGACACCGCGAAACACATAAATCAGTCACACATGTACACATACACAATATGTCAGCAATTCTAATGAAGCTGCCACATTCAGTCACCAGGTCAGGTCTAGTATTATACTGATAGCTGCACAAATTTGATCGCCAGCAATGCATTAATAAACGTACGCATCATTTCTGTACACTCATTTGACCTGCCTCTTACAACAGACCTTTGCTTCTTGATGTTTGTTAAAGGTTTGTGATCAACATCACATCTGTTTTCAACAACATAGTCATTAATGATCTTATACATTAAGTTGGTCACCTTTCATCTAATATGCCATTTAAGTAGACAGTAGACTTGTGCAGAGTTTTTCCAGCTGTCCACGGTGTCATAGACAATCATCAAACACAAAGTGTATGGTTTAAAAGTTTGTGGGTAGGGCTCCAGCGGTGTTGCTGTAGTAGACAGACGGAGATTATGTGCATATATGCTTTAATATGTGGGTGGACTTAAAGGGATAGTTCACCCAAAAATGAAAATCCTGCTGTAATTAATTTCTCACCCTCATGTCGTTCCAGACCCGTAAAACCTTAATTGTTTCTGCATTAAATTATTACATTGTTTAAATTAATACCTTTTTGGCTAACTGTGATTTTGTATATATACATTTCTGTTTCCTCTGATAACAGATCACTCTAAATTGTAATGTGGACTCATGCATTTTCTGTAAAGCTGCTTTGAAATTATGTGTATTGTGAAAAGCGCTATACGAATAAATATGAATTCAATTGATTCATCTTTAGAAAACAAATTATATTTTTGATGAAATTCAAACGGTTTCTCAACCAGCCATAGGCAGCAACGTCATTGCAACTTTCAAGGCCCAGAAAGGTAGTAAAGACATGGTTAAAATAGTCCATGTGAATACAGTGGTTTAACCACTGAAGCAACGAGAATACTTTTTGTGCGTCTACTCCTTTTATTAATGATTATTAATAATTATTTTTGATACTGACACTGTCAGCACAGACCGATTCCTTGTGGAAATTCACCACTGCGTAATTCAGATCCTCAGCAGATGTGATGCAGCACTGAGAGTCACCAGTGGCTTTCTCAACTGTAGCATAGACACCGTTAGAAGAAACAGAGGGGATTGTGGGTAATTGGGCAGTGGTATATAGGAAGTTAGAAGAAACAGAGGGGTTTGTGGGTAATTGGGCAGTGGCATATGGGACGACAGAAGGATCAGAGGGGTTTGTGGGTAATTGGGCAGTGGCGTATGGGAAGACAGAAGAATCAGAGGGGTTTGTGGGTAATTGTTTGTGAGCGTCTTCAATCTCCTCGTAATCACAACCAGTGTGAGAAACCTGAGGAGAGACAGAGCAATTATTTCTAGCTCTGAAGATTGTCAGGATGGAAGGCATTAGACATTAATATCATTATGAATAAAAATCAACATTTAATACAGTAACTGGACTCACAACTTCATGTTTGCCTGGTTCAGTCTGAGATGATGAATCACCGCCTGTCAAAAACAGGCATCCTAAATTAATGACATTACTGTATATCACAATTCAACACTGACGTCTTGTGTAAAGCTTGGTTTATACTCGGCGTGTCCACACGAGAGTGAAGGTGCACGCGGTAAAAATGACGTGTCGCGAGACCCCATTTCGCGTGGCGGTGTGACTGCACGCCATTTTTTTATTAACTTTGCAAACGGCTCCGCTTCCGAAGATGCACGACTTCAAGCCGATTCTGGCAGAGCAGGTACATCTGTACCATCTTACAGGCTCCCAGTTTGACGGAGTCCACTAAGACAGGCTTGTGACTAATAGTGGATAAAAGCAAGATGACAACATAACATATAACCATAATTAAACTATACCTGCTCTGTCTCCATGCACTGTTTATTCTCTGGCTCTGTAGGCATTATTGCCAGACTCCGGTTCCAACGTATAAGGCTGAACATCACTACTGACTGTTTGTGCACGAGATTATCCTGTTTTTGTTTTTTGTTGCCAGTATGCATGAGCTCCTGAAGCTCCGCCCTCTTCTTGAAAGGGGGCCGGGATCAGAAGCTCATTTGCATTTAAAGGGACACACAAAAAACCGGTGTGTTTTTGCCCCCAAAAAGTGGCAATTTTAAAATGCTATAAAAATAATCTATGGGGTATTTTGAGCTAAAACTTCACATACACACTCTGGGGACTTATCAGATACTTGTAAAAAGGTGCATAGTTGGTTCCCTTTAATTAAAATAAAGGTCCATGTTCAATAAAAATGTTCATGAAATTAAACAAAAATGTTTAATGAAATTAGAAATATTTAAGAGATTGATGTTTAATTAAGTTTTATACATGTTCTCATATTCATTTATTTTGTTATAATGTCAGTAATAATATTATATAAGTATAATTAAGTAATAATCTCAAGGTTCACTGGATTTTACACGATTATTTGGTTCTTTTGTAGCATGGTTTTAGTGAAGTGTAACACAAATATCGTCATGCGTGTACTTTACTTCTCACAGCTGCTTCCTGATGATTTAGAGAACAATTACTCCGAGTCTCCCTGTCGTTTCAAAGAATAGTACAACGGCGAGTGTGTAAAGTATAAATGCCTTGTCGTTTAGGGAGGAGCGCGCAGACAGCGGAGGCTCACTGTGCGGAGCCAGGCGGAAGTATACACAAGGCTTTAACATTACTGTTAAATGTTTTCACACATCAAGTATCTGTATTTTGCTCTTATTCCAGCCTATGGACCTTATGCGCGAGAGAAACGAGGGCGCCGCCATCTTTAGAATATTGTCTTTGAACTTCCGTTTTTGCAGTCGCTCTGTATATTTCTAGGGCATTGCTGTCCAGGAGTAACTGGCGTTTAAAGTGGATTTACTTAATGTAAAGTTAACGAAAGATATCATGAGGATTGTATCATTGTAATGTTTGATGCAGATGTCTTAACAAATGTCAGTAGACCGGGAAGATTTATATCAAACAAATATATCTGTTTTAAACTTGGTATAAATAGAGATTTCTCTATCTATTTATTTTTTTGAGGAGTTTTACCTCGAGATTGACGCTTTTTACAGAGAAACAGTAATAAGAGTCCAGCGATGATCAGAACCAGAAGAACCAGAGGGATAATCAGAGAAGAGCCTGAAAACACAGGAGAAATAATCAGAGAACATGATCACTTTCAGCTAAATATCAAACAGATCATGGGCGTAGCTTGAGGTTTGGAGGAGGATTGGCCACACCGGGGGCCGGTTGCATAAACATAGCCATTATGTTAAGACTGTGACTTAAGTACCAATATGACCAACTAGCGGTTAGTCAAGGGGCAATCAGTTTTACTTTTTTGCATCAAATTTGACCAATCTCAGTTTATATGTAACTGACTTAAAAAAAGTTGTTGTTGAGTTATACACTCACCGGCCACTTTATTAGGTACCCCATGCTAGTAACGGGTTGGACCCCCTTTTGCCTTCAGAACTGCCTCAATTCTTCGTGGCATAGATTCAACAAGGTGCTGGAAGCATTCCTCAGGGAGTTTGGTCCATATTGACATGATGGCATCACACAGTTGCCGCAGATTTGTCGGCTGCACATCCATGATGCGAATCTCCCGTTCCACCACATCCCAAAGATGCTCTATTGGGTTGAGATCTGGTGACTGTGGAGGCCATTTTAGTACAGTGAACTCATTGTCATGTTCAAGAAACCAATTTGAAATGATTAGAGCTTTGTGACATGGTGGAAGTAGCCATCAGAGGATGGGTACATGGTGGCCATAAAGGGATGGACATGGTCAGAAACAATGCTCAGGTAGGCCGTGGCATTTAAACGATGCCCAATTGGCACTAAGGGGCCTAAAGTGTGCCAGGAAAACATCCCCCACACCATTACACCACCACCACCAGCCTGCACAGTGGTAACAAGGCATGATGGTTCCATGTTCTCATTCTGTTTACGCCAAATTCTGACTCTAACATCTGAATGTCTCAACAGAAATCGAGACTCATCAGACCAGGCAACATTTTTCCAGTCTTCAACTGTTCAATTTTGGTGAGCTCTTGCAAATTGTAGCCTCTTTTTCCTATTTGTAGTGGAGATGAGTGGTACCCGGTGGAGTCTTCCGCTGTTGTAGCCCATCCGCCTCAAGGTTGTGCGTGTTGTGGCTTCACAAATGCTTTGCTGCATACCTCGGTTGTAACGAGTGGTTATTTCAGTCACTGTTGCCCTTCTATCAGCTCGAACCAGTCTGGCCATTCTCCTCTGACCTCTGGCATCAACAAGGCATTTCCGCCCACAGAACTGCCGCTCACTGGATGTTTTTTCTTTTTCGGACCATTCTCTGTAAACCCTAGATATGGTTGTGCGTGAAAATCCCAGTAGATTAGCAGTTTCTGAAATACTCAGACCAGCCCTTCTGGCACCAACAATCATGCCACGTTCAAAGTCACTCAAATCAACTTTCTTCCCCATACTGATGCTCGGTTTGAACTGCAGGAGATTGTCTTGACCATGTCTACATGCCTAAATGCACTGAGTTGCCGCCATGTGATTGGCTGCTTAGAAATTAAGTGTTAACGAGCAGTTGGACAGGTGTACCTAATAAAGTGGCCGGTGAGTGTATGTTCTGATTAACTATATTATTTTATGTTTCTTACTGTTATTTTGTTTTTACTTTATGCTATTGACTGTTGTATACTAAAAAAGTGCAAGAGTTCATTGTGCGGATGTGTGAACAAACGGGGACTTTTATTTTGACTCCACTTGTGTTCCTTCCTTGTGAAAAATGTCGTGCTGCTGCTCCCTCGTGCACTGATGTTATGCCAGCGCATTGAGATGAAAACTAACAAATAAATAGCACTGAGAAATTGTATCTGGATTGTTCTTTAGTGGATGGATGATCGCAACATATTGTGCATGGACATGACGGACGGAAATGAAAACTTAACAGGTTATGGGCCCAGGCGCGCAAATGCTACAGGAGGAAGATGGCAGAGGCTAGTCTTCGACGGAGATGAAAATAACTACGAACTATGGGAAGTAAAACTGCTTGGTCATCTGAGAATAATTGGTTTAAAAGAAACAATACTGTCTACTGGGGATATAGACGAGGAAAAGAATGAGGAGTGCTACGCCGAACTAATCCAGTTTCTTGACGACAAAAGCTTGTCACTGGTGATGCGAGAGGCGAATTATAATAGCTATGATCCTAAAGGGTCTGCCGGATTCCTACAAACCTTTCGCTATCCATACTACACAGAGTAGTGAAGAATTGACTTTCACCCAGTTCAAAAGCAAACTAAGAAGCTATGAAGAGACAGAAAAATTTGATGATAAACCCAAATATGACAATGTGATGAAAGTGCACATAGCGTCCGTGACCTGCTACAGGTGTGGAAACCGCGGTCATATCGCGCGTGATTGCCGCCAAAAACGCGTACCTAAGTGGTGCAGCTACCATCGAAGTTCAACACACAAAGATGAAGCAAAACAGGCCGCAGAAAAACAAGAGAAGCATGAGAAAGAACAAAAATTTGTGTTCAAAGTCAGTCAAACATTTCTTCCAGATAATATTACGAAAAATGGACTGATGGTAGACTGTGGAGCAACATCCCACATTTTAACAGAGAAGAGCGATTTCACGAAATTTGACGAGAGTTTCGACCCAAAGTCACACTACATGGAGCTGGTGGATGGAGCCAGGATGAACAACGTCGCATTAAAGCGGGGCGACGCAGAGGTGTTACTGCTGGACGTGGAAGGGAAATGTGTCAGAATCACCCTAAAGAAGGCCTTGTTCATACCATCATATCCACAGAACATCATCTCCGTTCAAGCTGCTACAACAGATGGGGCCAGGGTGATCTTCCAGGAAGGACAGAATGAACTGATAACCAAGGATGGAACTGTGTTCCGCATAGAAGAGCACGAGAGACTGTACTACCTGAAAACGGTAAATAACAACAAACAATGTGTTGATGCGTCAGTTACTGGTATAATGTCCAGGGACAAAGTGAGTCTAACTTGTGACGGTAAAACGTGGCATGAGATCATGGGACATTGTAATGTTAGTGATGTGTTGAAACTACCTGAAGTGGTTGAGGGTATGGAAATCACAGGTAATACCAAACTAGACTGTAATGTTTGTACTGAGGGAAAGTTCATTAACAGCAGAAATTGGAAAACTGACACAAAAGCTGGTGAGGCCCTAGAATTGGTACACACTGACTTAGCAGGTCAGAAACAGCCAACAGTGGCACTGTCGACCTGCGAAGCTGAATACATTGGTCTAGCAAACACTACTCAGGAAAGCATGTATCTAACTCAACTGCTAAATGGCATGGACAGTAGTGTTTACACTTGCACCACAATGTACGGTGATAACCAGGGTGCTATTGCACTGAGTAGAAATCCAGTGAATAGATCTAGATCTAAACACATTGATGTGAAAT